AAAAAAAAAAAAAAAAAAGTGGAAAGAGGATATCAATGTTGCCAACCAAGATCCTGCCGTTAGAAAGTCAGAAGACATCATGAATGTGAATATCAGTGGTAACTTGTTCAGTGTAGAAATTTAATGCCAAATGGAAATCTTTCAGTCAAACACTTTACAAAGCACTTTTACAAATAGTAGTTTATTTAACTTGCTCAACAGCCTGGTTTTTTTAAACTTATTTTATGGATGGGCAAAATGAGGCTCAGCTGCTATAACAACTTGTTACCAACAGTGGCTTAAAACAAAGCAAATTATTATCATACATTTCTGGAGTTTGGAAGTCCTAAATGGGTCTCACTGTGTTAAAACCAAGATGTCGGTAAGGTCTCACTGTGTTAAAACCAAGATGTCGATGCATTCCTTTGTGATCTCCCTCCCTCCAGGGGAGGATCTGGTTCTTCGCCTTTTCTAACTTCTAGAGGCTGCCTGCATTCCTGGGCTTGTGGCCATCTTTAAAATAATCAATGGCCAAATGGCCATTTGAATCTTTTTCATGCTGTGTCATTCTGACACTGATTCTGACCCTCTAGCCTCTCTCTTTCACTCACAAGAACCTCTGTGATTACGTCGGGCCCACCTAGACAATCCAGGGTAATCTCTCCATTTCAAAGTTTTAATCCATCTTCAACTTCATTCCTCCTCACCATGTAAGGCAACATATTTACAGGTTCCAGGAATTAGGATGTAGACCTCTTCGTGGAACATTGTACTGCCTCCCACAGCAAGGTTAAGTGGCTGCCTGATTCTTAAGTTGAAAGCTTCAGATTTTCAAGCCCAATTAAATATTATGTGAAAACAGCATTCCCAATATAATCTTTCCTTTCTTTTCAGGATGAATGTGATGAGTTTAGAGGCCAAATGAAAAATGGACAACTTATCTGCACCCGAGAGAGTGATCCTGTCCGGGGTCCACATGGCAAGACACATGGCAATAAGTGTACTATGTGTAAGGAAAAACTGTGAGTATTTTTCAAAAATGGGCTTTTAATTGTGAGTCTTAAAGTGGAATAATCATTTCTCAACAGTTTGAGAAAAATGATGATTTTTTTTAAAGCAGATCTAGTAATTAATGAGGTGTTTGTTTAGTTTGGTTGAAATGTTTCTTTCCATTTTTTCTTCCAGGGAAAGAGAAGCAAGTGAGAGAAAAAAGAAAGAGAAGGACAACAGCAGAAATACAGGAGAAAGGAGCAGTGAAAAACAGGTAATATGTGCTAGACACGCTGATGCTAAAATTTGGATGGTTGGTTGTATGGCTAATTAATTTGACAAGTATTTATGGAATGTCTACTCTGTCCCAATCTGTGGATATAACGGTAAACAAGCAAGACATGGCCAGATCTTGCAAAGAAATAGCATGCTATTCAATGCCCTGAGAACAACTCTGAAGCAATTACTTCACATTTGTAGGACCAGTGACAGTTGTCAAATTATTCTTGTTATCAGTTGAATTTCTTTTCTGAAGTTTTAAAACAAAAAGTAAACAAGCAAAGAGTTACTAAAATTACAAACAAGAAAGCAAGTATCAAAAACTTGGAGCTCTCCAGAAGACAGATTCTTGAGTTGGCATTCCAGTGCCATCTTGTGTTCAATTTTGGGCTTTTAAGAATAATGTTCAATGCTTTACAACACCAACACTTAGAATATGACACAGCACAATGTCTTCTAATACGTCTATAGACTCTAATTAGAAAAGTGCAACAGTGACATTTCCCCAGGAAGATTTTCCCATTAATGAGGCAATTTTTCATTAGATCTATACTGACTAAATAAAATGAAACATTAATAGTAATTATCATGTTTTAAAAATATTTTGGGAATCTCTGTTATGCATTTTGGTAGATGAATGGCTTTGAGAAAAGACTGTATTGCACAACTTCAAATGATCTCTATTGACCGTCTATTCTGTTTATAGTCTTGGTCAATTTCTTTTCATTTTTTAAATATCTATTTTAGGAATTTCAAACAAAAAAATACTCTCTCTATATGTATTTATAGAAATCCAGATATTTTGTGTATGTGTGGCAAAAGAGAGCTGCAATCTTATCTACATATGCACAGTAAAACAAGCTTTACAAAGCACATGCATCATCGTATTTAAACCTCCCCAAAATCTATGCAGAAGATGGTATTTTTGTTCCAATTTTACAGTTGAGAAAAACTCAGAGACGTTAACTACACACCAAATAAATAGAAGGGCCAGGGGTTGCATCCATAAATCAAAAGTTGCAATACAGGCAGATGGCTACAATCATACACATATGTGTGTGTGGTATTTGGGGCACCTGGATAAAAAAATAATTCTAGTAACTTCTAAAAATGGTGGCTGTGAGACATTTAATATATTGATCATGTGTTCAATTCCAGAGACTTTTTTAAATGCTGCAGATAAACATAGCTCTTGAGGGGCCCGACCTGCTGGCATAGTGATTAAGTTCACAGGCTCTGCTTTGGTGGCCTGGGGTTTGCAGGTTTGGATCCCAGGCACAGACCTCTGCACTGCTCATCAAGCCATGCTGTGGTGGCTTCCCATATATAAAATAAAGGGGGATGGGCACAGATGTTAGCTCAGGGCTAATCTTCCTCAGCAAAAAGAGGAAGACTGGCAATGGATGTTAGCTCAGGGCTGATCTTCCTTACCACAAAAAAAAAAGAAAAAGTAGATCTTGAGTTGTTCATGGGTATCACAGTTTAAATAAAGAAGGATAACTACAATCTAGGTGACCAGGTATTTTTTAAGGTAATCTTCCCATATCTCTACTTTGGCTCTTTTGGCTTAAAGGAAGTTTAAGACAAACTTCTGTAGATGTCCGAAAATTTTAATAGAGGCCAGATCCTGTGGACTCAGTTTCATTGGCTTCTTTTTAAGGTTCTTATTTTTCAATGAACAAAAAAGGCAGCTCCATCTTCTTGCAAATGTATGGGAGCTTTATTCTCTGCCAGGTAAAAGCAAAGAAGGCAAGGAGTATAGTCTGCTTGTTAGCAGGTTTCTGATCACAATTCCAACATTGATTTTAATGATTTAATCTCTCTGGGCCTTAATTTTCTCACCTGTAAATGGGGATAATGGGTGTTTATCTTACAGCTTTTTTAGGACAACCAAAGGAAATCGATTAGAGCACACAACAGAATGCCTGGTCTATAATACTGATTTGATAAAAATTTTTTTTTTAAATTTTGTTCTTGAGGGCCAAAACTAAAAGTTTACATGTTTATATGTCTGTGCCAAAAGAGCATCTTTCAGTTCATTCCAGGGCTTTTTATGTATGGAGTAATGAGTGGAGTTACAAGGAGACAGATTTGGGGCTGAGCCTAGTGAAAATTGTATAAAAATGGTGCAGCCTGCCTTAGGTAGTAGTAAAATCCCACTGGGGCAAGGCAATTATTTGAGAGGATGCTATGGAGAAGATTCAAACTACTTAAGCAGATATTGAAGAAAGTGCCTTTAAAACACATTCCATCTCTAAAATTTCCTTTTCTCGAGGTGTTCATTTTCCCCCTCAAGTGTTAGGAGTTTATGTCTAACCAACCAACCATGTTTTCAGTTTTATAGATCAGACTATCATAGTAACATCTTTTTTTGCTCCTATTGGCAGGATCAGTGTTATGAATTCCGGAACATGGTGAGAGACGGAAAGCTTATCTGCACCAGAGAAAATAACCCTGTTCGAGGTCCGGATGGCAAGATGCATCCCAACAAGTGTGCCATGTGTGAGAGCATCTTGTACGTGAAGAGGTTTATTGATCAGTTTGATATGTTGTGAGTGTTTGCCTGAAAATAGTTCCTCTTAATTTACAACTTAAGGCATTGGATCACACATTAAAAATATAATAATAGCACCTCACTTTATAAGAAGATAGTAAGTTTCCAAAGCACTTTCACAAGAAATTTTTATTTCTTTTATTATTATTATTTTTTTTTGGTAAGGAAAATTGGCCCTGAGCTAACATCCATGCCAATCCGCCTCTATTTTTTTGTATGTGGGATGCTGCCACAGCAGGGCTTGATGAGTGGTGTAGGTCTGCGCCTGGGATCCGAATCCGCGAACCCCAGGCTGCCACAGTGGAGCACGTGAACTCAACCACTACGCTACCAGGCCAGCCCCAAGAAATTTTTATTTTGATGATGAGAAACATAATCATACCTGGAGCATCTGAGACGGGAAGATAGCGATCGTACAGGGCCCAAATCATGGACTTTTAAAGAGGAAGCTTATCAGCTAACTAACATAGGGCAGGCCAGTTCACTTTGCAGAGCTTCAATTTCTCCTATATGTAAAGGGAAAGATAACAATATAATATAGTTTGGGTAGGGATTCAAGGAGATAATACTTTAAAAAATGTTTATAAACTTTAAAGCACTCTAACTATGGAAAGAACAATCAGTACTGGAGAGTGTAGTTGTAATGTAATAAGAAAAATAAAAAGGAGATGTGACAGGCCGGCCTGGTGGTGTAGCGGTTAAGTTCACACGCTCTGCTTCGCTGGCCCGGGGTTTGCTGGTTCAGATCCTGGGAGCAGACCTACTTACCGCTCATCAAACCATGCTGAGGTGGTGTCCCACATAGAGCAACTAGAAGGATGTACAACTATGGCATACACCTATCTACTGGGGCTTTGGGGAGAAAAAAGGAAAAAAGGAGGAAGATTGGTAACAGATGTTAGCTCAGGGCCAATCTTCCTCAAAAAAAAAAAAAGGAGAAATGAAACAACTCTTTATATGAGAGCCATAAATATGTTCAATTAAGGAGTAAAAGAAATTGCCTTTTAGGATCATATCATTCTGGATGAGAATATAGTAACTGAATTTATGAAAGTTATCGTCACAGATATATTATGCAAATTCTGACAATCAGAACTCATTAGTAAAAAAAGAAATTTAAATTTTTTTTAGATATGAGAAAATAGTGTTAGATTTGCTGATGTTTAGAGAAATACTTGGTTAAAAAAAATTCAATAATAACCCTGGAAAAATGACTCTATTCTTTTTTATTCTGCAGTGAGCGAGAAGCTAATGAAAGAAAAAAGAATGATGAAGAAAAATCAAAAGCCAAGCCCTCAAAAGATGCAAAGGTTATTTCTTAAAAGATATCAAGATAACTATTTTACTTTTCATCCTCAGAATCTTGTATTCTCTTCCATAACAATAAAGATGCTAATCCTTTGCGTCAAAGAAAATTGATTTTGTCAATGTCGTCACTTTGGGTTATAATAAGATTTTTTTTCTGGCTTTGAAGTTTAATGTTCTTCTCAATTTTGTAGAGAATTTTCCTACAGTGTGTGTTAATTACGGCTTTAGTCTCTCCTCTTTGGGAGAAATGTGAATTAAAAAATAGAGGGTAAAATTCTTTACCACCTCAACTGCATGCTTATCTCTGACTTTAAATGTGAAATGGGGCTTTAGGTAGCTTGTGACATTGATTTTAACAATTCAGGTCATATAAACTAGTCTTGAAGTCTTCTCTTTAGCTTCTGTCCTTGATGTGTTTTTTCTGTTTTCTCCAGATGGTTTTTTCAGCATCAACAAATCAATAGTGTGCGTGCATGATACTATCTTTTCTATTTGCTTTTTAAGACTGCAAAGAAGACATCTTCCCTCAGTCCTTAACAGTGATTGTCACATTTGTAGAGCTAGACTCTTCTGAGATTGTTCTTTGGTCAAGAGTACACCTCATGTGGAAAAGTGGGGAAAGGAAAGATGGAAGGAAAGGGCGAGGGAGACAAGGAGGTCTATCAAGTGTTGTTTTATGTTTCCCTACGTCTCCAGGACCAGTGCAGAGAGGCTCGGAGTGAAGCGGAGGATGGAAAATTTAGACAGTCTGAGCCTCCTTTGGCCTCCATTGTCAAGATAAGTGCAGTGAGTCTGAGCCCAGAGCCAAGAAAGGACTTCCTAAAACCAAGGTTGAGAAAACCACCAAGCCAAGAAGGGAAAAAGCCATGTTCACTTCCGCTTTCTCATTTTCTAGGACGAATGTAGTCAGTTTCGGGACTACTCGAGGAATGACGAGCTCTTGTGCACTCGAGAGAATGACCCCGTGCATGGCGTTGATGGAAAGTTATATAAAAACAAGTGCTACATGTGCAGAACTGTCTTGTGAGTAAGAGGATCCTGTTACGCCTTCAGCTAGTGGGGCAACTGTGTTTTTAGAAAGCGCTTATTACATAAACACGTGTTCATGAATCCATGGGGTCCTTAAAATAAGTCTTTAGATTCAAGGCCCTTAAACTGAGAACACTTGATATAGGAGAAAGACTGGACTTGGAGACAGGAAATCCAGATATAAGTTCTAACCATGATATTTACTAGCTGTGTCACTTGAAAAAAAGTTTTTCCAACTTTCGGGGTCATGGTTACAAGAAATTGTTCCAGATCTTTGTTCCACGACTAGATCAGACTCAACAGAGAAATTAAAAAAAAATACAGATTTTACACCCCAAAAATATATTAAGCCAGAATCTTCAGGCTAGAGAATTTTTTGTAGAAAAGATTTCTTGGTTATTCTGATGAACAACCATATTTGGGGACTAATGGCCAGGATAGATAATGATAATGATGATGCTTGTGAAAAACACTGTGAACACAATAATAATAATCAGAATTATTTTAGCTCTTCTAGTACCGTAGTCCTCCGTTATCTGTGGTTTCACTTTCCACGGTTTCAGTTACCCGCCGTCAAACTCGGTCCAGAAGCAGATGATCTTCCTTCTGACATATGGTCAGAAGGTCAATGGTAGCCTAATGCTACATCACAAGGCCTATGTCATTCACTCTTCATCTCATCATGTAGGCATTTCATCATCTCACATCATCATAAGAAGAAGAAGGATCAGTACAGTACAATAAGATATTTTCAGAGAGAGAGACACCACAGTCACATAACTTTTATTATAGTATATTGTTATAATTGTTTTATTTTATTAATTGTTATTGTTGTCAATCTCTTACTGTGGCTAATTTATATATTAAACTTTATCCCAGGTATGCATGTATAGGGAAAAACAGTATATATAGGGTTCAGTACTATCCGCGGTGTCAGGCATCCACTGGGGGTCTTGGAACATATCACTTGTGGATATGGGGGGACAGTTGTATGTTTCTTGAGGTAAGAATTACCAATACTACCCTCTTTTTATCTTCCACTAAATCTAAGCTTGAGGAATTTAAGCAACTTGTCTAAGGTTGAACATCTATTAAGTGATGAGAGCTCTAAATCAGTTCCCAGTTGTTTACTTTTCTTAACATATCATCCTGGTCACTCTGGTTGAATTTTTTATGGCTCTATCATATTTTATTAGAATTTCTTAACTTCCCAGTGGAAGTTATAGGAGCTGGTCTTTGTGGACATAACTTTAAATTCCTTTTCGTTTTTTTCTCTAGTCAAAAAGAAGCTTTAGAAAGGGCAAGAATTCGAGAAAAGCCATCCCATGTTAGATCTTCTAAAGAGGAACACAGCCCAGATTCCCTCCATTCCTCTCTGGTAAGAATGACTATTTCTGAAAAGCTACCAATTAACTTAATTCTCTTATTTTGGGGAGCCTGTTGCCACTTGCCCTCCATAAACCTCATTTTCATAGAAAGGTCTGGAAAAGCCTGAGTCAGTACAGCCTCAAGTCCTTTGAAGATTAGTTGTAGTTCACGCTTGGTAAGAGTCTGGGATTACTCACCAGTGCATTATTCTGTGCTCTTGGAGATTCTTAGCTCTGCTCCAAGCCAATTTAGTACATTTTTGAAATTTTAAAAAGTGGGTGTGTAATGAATATGACTTATTGCACATGCGGTCACATAAGTAGTAAGGAGGCTCAATTCTATAATCTCAGTTCGGTAATTCTGTAATTACAATTCTATAATTTCACCAAAAAGTCTCCTCACCCAGCTTCCTCTCATTTTTCCTCCCCAAACCAAATTCCTTTCCCAATAGCCTGGACCACTTTGCTGAGCGTGTTCACACTTGTGAAATTCCGCCAATTAGCAATTCATAGTGATTAAAACTTTTTATTTAAGATATAGGCTGATGCCCATCAGTAATGTATACCTTAGTGTAAACTAGCCTAATTGGATTGCTTTTTTTGGAGGTTTACCAAGGTCAGGAGTAGAAAGGAAGAAACGGGATGTGAGAGCGTGAAGCATATTTATGAAGTGGAATCTCACATGGGGGCCTAAAAGCGAGACTTTAGCACCTCGTCCGATGACTTAGAAAAGAAGAAAGAAAGATGTCAAACATGAATTTTATCTAATTATTTGTCCAATTCAACTAGGATAATGGATGAATTGCACTGGTAAAATATAAACTAATTATATATTTCTAGTAAATTAGGCACTACACTAGAAAACTCTAAGCATGCAGAAGAGCTATTCACAAAATCTGTTCCTTTTTTGCCCACCTTCATTGAGATATAATTGATATATAACATTGTATATGTTTAAGATGTACAATGTGTTGATTCCATACATTTGTATATTGCAAAATGATTACCACCATAGCGTTAGTTAACACCTTCATTACCTCACATAATTACCATTTCTTTTTTGTGGCGAGAACATTTAAGATCTACTCACTTAGCAACTTTCAACTTTATAATACAGTATTATCAGCTATAATCACCATGCTGTACATTAGATCCCCAGAACTTATACATCTTATAACTGAAAGTTTGTACCCTTTGACCAACATCTCCCTAATTCCCCCAGTCTCAGCCCCTGGTAACCACCATTCTACTTTCTGTTTCTGTGAGTTTGGCTTTTTCAGATTCCACATATAAGTGATATCATCCAGTATTTGTCTTTCTTTGTCTGACTTATTTCACTTAGCACAATGCCCTCAAGTCTCATCCAAGTTGTTGCAAATGACAAGATTTCCTTTTTCCTTCCTTCTTGTGGCTGAATAATATTCCATCGTGTTGCACATCTTCTTTATCTATTCATCCATTGATAGACATTTAGATTGTTTTCCTATCTTGGCTATTGTGAATAATAAAATCTGTTCTTTTTTAAAAAAACATTTTACTGAAGTATAATAGTCAAGTAGAAAAAGTGCACATATCATAAGCGTACAGCTAAATGAAATATCACAAAGTGATCACACCTGTGATATTAGCACCTACGTCAAGAAATAAGATATCACCAGTAGACCAGAAGCCCCATCATGCTTCCAGCTAATGGACAATCTGGTTTCGAGCTGAGCTGTCTCGTGGAGAAGAGAACTATATTCATTATCCAATTAGCTATCCATTTATTCATTCTACAAATATTTATTGAGCACCTACTATTTTCCAACCATTGCTTATGTGTGTGAACAACAGCCATAAACAAAACAGACAGAACCTTTCTACACCCATGGAGTTTATATTAGAAGAACATAGATAATAGAAAATGTGAATAAATAAAATGTAATGCCAAGGGAGAAATAAAGTAGTAAAATGATATAGTAAACGCCGGGATCCAATTTTAAAGCGGGTACAGAAAAGAGTTCTCTGAGAAGGTGATATTTGCACCAAGGCCTAAAGGGATAGATTCCATATGTGTAAGTGAGGGGAGAGCATTCTAAGAAGAGGAACAGCAAAGCCCTGAGGGAGTGGTCGAACGACAGTATAGAGTCCAGTGTGGATGAGATAGAGTGACCTCAGTGAGAGCTACAGAGGAGGAAGTCATTCAAGTAACGGGAGACCATGTTGTGTAGGATTTTGTAGCCCATTTTAAAGATGTTGGCCATTATTCTGAATGAAGCTTTGGAAAAGAAGAGTTACGTGATCTGACTTATGTTTTATAAGGATAACTCTGCTTGCTGTATTGAAAATACACAACAGGGAGGCAAGGGCAAAAGTTGGACAGCCAGTTAGTCAGCCATGGCAGTAATCCACAGAAGAGACGATGCTAGTTTATACCATGGTCGTAGTGGTGGAGGTCGTGAGAGGTGGTTGGATCCTGAGTCTGTTTTGAAGGTGGAGTCAAACAGAATTTGTTGAGTTGATGTACTATGTAAGAAAAAAAGAGGCATTCTGTCTTTGTTGCTTCTTTGTAATGCTTTATCCTGGTAGTTTTGAAGCTTGTAGCAGCAGATACCTGAAAAATACCGAGGATATACCTGGTTCAGTCCTACCTTTGCCAGTGATTCATAAGAGGTGCTTGTCCAAATTCTCCCCAAATGTCTCTGTCAATCTGGAATGCACCACAGTCTAAAGCAGTCCATTTAGATGTTTGAAGTATTTATCAAAACAAACAAACTAGCAAGCAAATACTTCTGTACGCCTCTGAAGTGAATATCAACAGATAGAATACCATTTAATTCTCTATTTCTTCTCTACTTCAGAAAGTAGTTTTCATGGAATTTGTTAATTTCATCTAAGTTGCCAAATTTATTGGCATATAGTTATTCATAACATTCACACATTATCCTTTTAACATCTATATTTATATAGTGACACATTTTTATCTTTAATGTAGGTAGAGTGTGTTTCTTGCCTTTTTGTCAATTTTGCCAATGGTTTCTCAATTTATTAACCTTTTCAAACAACCAATGTTTGGCTTTCTTCTGTTTTCTATTTCATAAATTTCTCTTCTTTAGTATTCGTTTTCTTATATTTTTGAGCATAATTTGCTTATTATTTGCTAGCTTCTTGAGATGGAAGTTTAGATCACTGATTTTAAAACTTTCTTCTTTGCTAATTATGTCTTTAGTTACAACTTCCTCTCAAATCACTGCTTTAGCTGCTGTGATTTGATCATTTATATTTTCATTATCATTCAGTTCAAAACATTTCTGTATTCCAATATGATTATTTTGAGACATGGGTTATTTAGAAGTGTCTTGCTTAATTTCTAAACACCTAGGAACTTTATAGTTATCATATTTATTACTAGTATTATTCCACTGTAGTCATAGAACTTACATTTTATGACTTCAATTCTTTGAAACTCATTGATACTTGCTTAACAGCCCAGAATATGGTCTATTTTGGCAATAATTTCATGTACACTGGAAAAGAACATGTAGTCTGCAGTTGTTGGATATAGAGGTCTATAAATACCATTTAGATCAAACTGGTTAATTTTGTTTTTCAAATATTCTATATTTTGATTTTTTTGTGCTATCAATTACTGAAAGAAGTATGTTACTATTTCCATCTATATTTGCTAATTTGCCTGTTTCTCCTTTCAGTCAGTCAATTTTTGCCTCATGTATTTTGAAACTATACTTTAGGTACATACATGTTTGGGATTGAATGAATCTGTTATTTCATCACTAGAAATCCTCTTCTTTATCTCTGTTAATACTTCTTGTCTTAAATTCTACTTTGTGTGATATTAATATAGATATACTAACCTTTGTATGATGGGTGTTTGCATGTATATATTTTCTAGCCTTTTGCTTTCAACTTATTGGTTGAAATACAAAGATATATTTAGACTTTATGTCTTGTAAACATCGTATAGTTGAGTCTTTTTGGTTTTTGTTCTTTAGCTGGAGTGCTCAGTCATTAATATATAATATAATTATTGACACAATTGAATTTAAGTCATCTATAATCCTATTTTTAAAATTCCTCCATCTTTTTTTTTCTTTGGTCCTACTTTTTTAATTAATAAAGTTATTCTTCTTATTATTATTGAATTCGTATTTCCAAAAGGTTACAAAGAACAAATATGTTCCTTCTTCTATATGAAAATATTTTTTTTACCTTGGGAAATATATTGACGAGTATACTAGCACCCACTGAGCACTTCATGTGTGCCAAACACTGTGTTATACACACATTTAAATGCATTATCTGATTTGATCCCCTAAAACGACAATATGAGGTAAGAATTATTGTAATTTTATTTATTTATTTATTTATTTTTCCCCCCAAAGTCCCAGTAGATAGTCGTATGTCATAGCTGCACATCCTTCTAGTTGCTGTATGTGGGACGTGGCCTCAGCGTGGCCGGAGAAGCGGTGCGTCGGTGCACGCCCGGGACCCGATCCCGGGCAGCCAGCAGCGGACACGCTCACTTAACCGCTAAGCCACGGGCCAGCCCAGAACTATTGTTATTCATGTTTTTCAGATGAGAAACTAAGGCTCAGAGAAGTTAGATAAAACACTCCTCTAGTTAGTGGCAGAGCTAGGACTCAAGTCTAAGCAATTAACTAGTATTTACTTCTGAGTCTTTCCTTTCTAGATTGTATATAACCAGTGCCTTCATTTAAGAAAAAAAGAAAAAATATTATTTCTTGCATGATTACCATCCTTGTTTTCATCCTATGGGCATACCTCAGTTTGTCTGTGCCCAATATCGTGTAGGGCTTCTGCTTTCTTATTGCTTTATTTTTCTTTGTTTCTTGGTTTAGCTACTTATCTTCCCTTGTAAAAAGAAGCCAAGTCCAGGACACTAAATTACCTAATAATGATGTGAAATAAATATGTGAGTTTGTATGACCTATGTTACAGTTCCTTACTAATCGTTTATTCAAATGTGACTGAGGAAATGAAAAAGTTTTCTCAAACCCATCCCTCTTGAGTGTTATTGGGCAAATCTGACTTGTGCTTTGCTTGTTCAGGATTCTGAGATGTGCAAACACTACCGAGTGTTGCCTAAGATGGGTTACCTTTGCCCAAAGAATTTACAGCCTGTCTGTGGCGATGACGGCCAGACATACAACAATCCCTGCATGCTCTGTCATGAAAATCTGTAAGTATACAAGTCACACCATCATAACCAGTCTAGAGGCTCTTGCCTACAGCATTGACCCACAGTAGTGTCCTGATATCAATTTGAGATATGTTGCAACTAATTTACTAATCACAGCCGTTAAAAACTCAAATTTTGTGAATGATCTTCATCATATATAAAATAGAAAGGATTTAAAGTTATCCCTTTAATAGAATTGCTAATGTACTTGACTGAGTGGAAGAAAAAGGAAAAAGTGGTGGGATTACAACAATTAGAGAAAATCTCTGTAAGCTCATGTACACTCATGGGAGTGTGAACATAATCCATCCTTTGTGTAAAGAGAAAAAAAGTTGAGAATGATTGCTATACAGAGTCAACCTGGTTTATAATCTCGAGTGGGCCTTATGACTACCTGGTAGTCACAGATTTCCCATCCTCTCTAAGTCTTCTTGGAGTAGGAAGTGGTATAATGCAAAAGAAAGCACCCTGGAGCAAATGGCAGACCTCATGTCTGTTCTCAATTTATTACCATCTGTGCATCTGTGGGCATATTATCTCATCCTTCTGAGATTCAGTTTCTTCATTGGAGAAGTGGAGACAGTTCTCTGAGCCAACTGACTTCACAGGGTTTTGAGAAGAACTCTTTTTTTAAGTTCAATACAAGAGAGTTTAATACTTTTGTTATTGGTTGTAGCTTTGTGTTGCTTTTCTGTTCAAATGCTATCTTATCCTTACCTTCATACACATTCCTTACCTTTTCCCAGCCTCGTTTGACTGGCTTTAAATGAGATCATGGTGGGAAATCTTGACTTTTCCACCCCACCTCACTCCAGACTTACGTTGCAGTCGCTGCACATTCTCTCCTTCTAAGGACGCTATGAGCAAGGCCCAGAATGTGAGGATGGGCCTGATATCCTGCTTTTCAATCCACGAAAAATATTTGAGCTTACGTTTATTTCCTTTTAAATCAAATAACTCATAAAAGAAAAAGCCACCTCACAGTCATATATTTAGAATAAAATCTGAATATGAGTGCTTTAGATCTTCTCACATCTGTAAGTAAGACACTTTCACGTTCACCCTCTCACTGAATCCTCAGTACCTGCTATAGAGTGGTACTATGTTCACTGTACAGAGGGTGAATCTGAGGCTCAGAGAATTCAGGGAACTTGCTTAAAGTCACAAAACTTAGAAGGAGAGCAGACAGGATTTTAACTTTGTTGACTTGGGTCTAAATACAGTTTTCTTTTCTCCCCACTACACTATTGTTTTATCCAAGGCAGTAGTTCCTTAAACATTTGGGAATCAAAGATTCCTTTGATAATATGGAGAAAGTTATGTCTTTCCAGATAAGAAAAGAAAATGATGCGACATTAACCACTTGTATGCATAATATCTGTGGGCACATAAATCTCTTGAAATCCATCCACGGATCTTATAGAGTTTTAAGAATTAAGAGATCCCTGTTTGAGGAATAAGTACAACCATTCAAGAATTTGTTACTATATATGCCTTATCCTCAGCACAGAAATCCTTCAACTTCTCTTTATTGTGAATGTCAGGGCCAAGCATTCTATTAACTATATAAACCCATAACAAGTGATCCTCTACTCAAGGAGAACTACAGAGTCAGAAACTCCAATGATGAAAATATTACTAAGGCATGCTTCAGGATGGATTGTGTAGCTAAAGGAACTGGGAGTATATATTATGAAGAGAAGATTAAGGCTATCCCAGGCAAGAGGAAATAGTATTAATTTCTGTGGTCTTAGAGGAAGCTATAGGGAGGCAATTGCAACTTGACCAATGTTCAAAGACAAAAATGAACTGCCTTAATAGAGAGTGAGTTTCCCATCACCAGAGGCAAACAAGTAAGTGTTTGATATATAATATTTCTTAAGAGAGAGGCATTAAAATTCATACCTTTTAAGAGTTTTTCCACCTATAAAATTTAGACTGTATGATTCTGTATGGTTTTATTTTATAAAATATATTATATATAGAATCTATATCCTATATATATTTACATAAAATATATTTTATAAAAAAATGTTATATTTTATAATCCCCAAGTCACCTTGTAGGTATTCAATAAAGTCAAACTTTTCTCTGGGATTTAATTTTCCCATCTATAAAATAAAGGTTTTTGGATTGGATGATCCCTAAGTTTATTTCCCATGTTCAAAAATTCCGTGACTATCTAGCTGAATGAAATGTGATGGAATAGATCCAAGGCTGGGGAACAAATCAGGAGCTAAATCAGAAGAGAGAGGCTAAACCTAGATGGTGCCTATTGGAAAATAGTTGAGTGCAGATCCCAGGACCTACCCCTATTTTCAGTTCTGATTTGACAACCAAATGTCACCCACATTGATCCTTGCTTTTTCTCATTATAACTGTGAGTTTTCCCCCCTTGCAAACTTCCTCTGTTCTGTTTTAGAATGCGCCAAACTAACACACACATACGCAGTGAAGGGAGGTGTGAGGAGAGCAGCACTCCAGGAACCACATCTCTCAGCGCGCCAGCATCTGTAAGTACATTGGCATTCGTGCTTAATGTTAGAACCGGTTGGTTCTGCTTCTGTTCTCTTGCACTTTGTGATGGACATTTCTCTGGCCAGGGAAGTGAAACTGGGTCAGGTAACCCCAGAATTGATCACATCTGCATTGTGAAGATAGTTCAGTAATTACTGAAATATATGGGAATAATAATACAGTAGTTAACATTTTTAGATGTTTACTGGGATCATTAATAGATTGCTTATGAGCAATGTCCCTAATCTAACACTTTTGCAGAGTAGGTTTTATTTTAGTGATCTGTAATAAAAAGATGAGACAGAGACCAGGAGAGGTCAGATAGTGACAGAGCTGGATTTAAACCATTTCTGTGTAGCCCGCATATCTTTGCACTTTACATTACATTAAACTGTCTCCCAACATGAAAAGTTGACCTTTTCGTTTAAATCCCTGCAAGGATGTTTTGACACACATTATTGAGTTTAACATTCTCCTTGGTGATTGCACTTGAGGAATCTCTTTCTAAGGCTAGGTAATATGTAACTTGGGGAAAAACCAGGAATTTTCAAATAAGAGAAAATTTCTTGTTACCAGATAAATATGGGTTCAAATTCCAGTTTTTGATATTCTTCATATATGAGACCTTTTGCAAATCACATAAACATCTAAACCAAAGATCTCACCAAGTTATTGAAAATATTCAATAAATACTGCCTTTTAAGCATTTGGCAGTGTCTAAAAATTCATGGCATTTATTATTATTATCACTATTATTTTTATGCCTTGGAGACCAAAGTATGAACTTAGAGGAAGAGAAGAGTCCGAAGTATGAACTTAGAGAAACAGACTCTGGTGCAGCACTTATTTATTTTTAATAATTTTAATGAATTATATTTTAATAAATTTATATTTGATATTTTAAAAATATATTTATATTTAATAAAAGCAAACAATATTTTAATAAGTTATATTTAATAAATTATTATTCACAACTGTTTTTACTCCATTCCACTGCCACAGAAAACTTTGGCAATAATGGAATTGGGAACTATTCTGCCAGATTTGGGGATCTTAAGTAACACTAGATGAGGCCATATTCAAAAGAACTACTCAGCGAGCCTTGATATGGGAAACTGGAAAAACAAGAACTATAAGCTAGGTGTTTCTGGTTTCACACTAGCAGCTGGCAGGCAGGACAGAGTAGGCAGAGTACTGGGATGAAATCAGGAGATCTTCATTTCATTTCTTTCTCATGTGGACTTGACAAAGTCATCTAACTGCTCTGGTTCTTTACACATCCATAAAGAGAGAGTTTCAACTTTTGCTCTAGTCCCCATATTGTGTTTGCTCTCTTATTACACATAAAGTCTTAGTGGTTTGCTCCTCATTTTACCGACAGAATATACCGTCCCCCAACATCTCACAGACACAGCTGGTTACATATATCTCAGAACAGGGAGGTAAGAGTAATCTTTATGCAAGTCCGACAGACCACACCTTAGACCACACCTTGCTGCAATCTCATGTAGACAACTTGACAAAAACAACTTTACGAGGAACTTGCCATAGGATAATACTGGTAAGATGTATTTATTCAAATAACGAAGAATCTTGCCAGGAGTAAGCACAAAAGTTTTTGTAAGAGAGTTCCTTTCTTTCATTTTTGAGTGTTTTCTTTCCACTAGAGTTATATAACAAAGATTATTAATGATAGTGATTATTTATGATGTTAGCTGATGGAACAAGTCATTAGAACAAAAAATGTTCTGGGCATGGGTTCAGTTCCCTCTGTATGATTCAGTGATGTAGTCTTGGATACATCAAGGTGGTATGGGTGAGTCACAGCCCAGCATCACTCTGATGCCTACTATGGATTCATATCTTGGAGGATGGATAGAAGATTCTCTAAGAGAGTCTGGAATCCAAAGAATGGAATAAAAGTCCAGGCAGTCACAACTTTCTTGGAAAAACAGACTGAAGGCTCCTGGAACCCATACTTTTGCTTACTATCTAAGGTATTTTTTATTATACAATAACTTCAAAGATTTATGTAACTCTTTACAGTTTTATGTGCTTTTTCCTTTTGCATCATCACACTAGTCTTGTGATTAGGGGAGGGATCATTAAGCTTCACATTTTATCCAAAATCAGTCTGGGGGAAATCCTGCAATTTATCAGTTATTCAGTGTCATATTTGGGGTCCAGTGTAGATCTTCTGACTTCATTTCTTATGCTCTGCCACCATCCCTTAGTTGTCAGGAGATTCTGAAAACCAGGGGCTCTAGAGAAGGCATTATCTCAATTACGTAAAGATTAGCTACATCGGGAGGAAATTTCTATGTTAAGGAAAACACCAATACTATTTTGTGAAATGAATAAATGACTATTCTCAATTCCATGACAAAGATTTTCAAGGATTCAACCAGACCGTAGCTTGCCGCTTTCAAACCAAAAGAAGCCTCATGGGGTTGATGTGAGAACTAAAATGGAGGTTTGAGGTTGGAATGCTAGAGCTACTAGTGCTCCAGGTGGTACTAGCTTACGATGTGCAGTTATATGGAAGAAAAATTCCTGAGGCCCTCACCACCATTTTAAAAAATTGGAGACATTGATTTAATGTTTTAAAAGTTGATTTCAGGACATTGTGTTGCTTCAAATATGAATATACGGATGAGTCAGACAAGGAAGACAGCTAAGTAAATTCTCATGGCCTAAAACAAACTATAATAGTAAAGCATCAGCATTAGAGGAATTTGATTTAAGTCCTGACCGAATGTGAGACCTTGGTAAGTCATTCAACTTCTCTGAAGCTCAATCTCCCCTTCTGTGAAATGATGTTAAGGACACCTGACTCTTTTTATTACGATGAGGATCACATGTAATCAGGAGCAGAGTTCATTTTTGTATCCATCTCAACAGGTAATACATCCTAGGTGTTCAATAAATACTCATTGCATCCATTGAATAAAATGTGAAAGTGATTTTAAATTGTGAGTTCTTGGCAGAATGCAGGCATTTATGGATTTCTTTGACTGTAGTACAGCTATAAATGTATAGCCCACATTTCTACAATGTCTCTGAATTTGAAGTGTCTAACCTATCCATCTTCTCTTCTAGGGCAAATGATGTGAGAATTGGTGAAAGCCATGAGGGAAAATTATACCCCAGTTCTGAATTGCCTACCTTCACCATCTGTATATTCAAATAATTCTTCAGAGCTCGTCTCATTTACTGTAGAAAACCATACAGAGCTGTTGGGGGAATGGACTCACTGACTTTCAGTCTTTTCCACCTCTTTCCTCCTAGATTCTGTGATCTGAGCGCACAGAGACACCTCCACCGAGGCTGTGCTCTCGAAACCTCCTAATCACAATGCTGTCTGTCCAACTGCTTGTTCAATAAAAGTAAACCCAGCCCAACACCATTTCTGGGATTTCTTTGCCACTGCCTGGATAATAAGAACTTGGTTTTTACCGAAGCTGAATAAACTCTACCGTTGTGTCTTGCAAAGCCCATTGGTGGACAGAGAATGTTCACTTTTTTCAGATTCAGGTTGCTGTCATAGTTGGGAAGGCGTGTCTAGAAGACAGGTAGGGAGATATGGGCTCCCAGGTAGCCAATGGCTGTATAAAGCCAAACCAGCTATGAATCAACCTCACCTTCACTATCTGTCACCTTACCAGCTCCCCTATCTAGCTTCTGCATTTCCATGAATAGCATAATTATCTCTCGGTTACGTAGGCCCTATCCAATGACACAAACCAGTAATTTCTCATATCCAATCATGTGACCTCTTGACAATTTCCTATATCAGGGCCTTGGACCCATAGACTCGGAGAAGACTAAGGAAATGAGAGTTACCAATGTATGCAAGTCTCTAGAGCAGCACTGTCCCATAGAAATATAATACAAGTCACATATGTAATTTCAAATTTTCTAGTAGCTACAAAAGAAATGGGTAAAATTAATTTTAATAATATATTTTGTTTAGCCCAATATATAAAAACTATGATCATTTCAAAATATAATCTATATAAACTTTTTTTACTAAGTTTTTGATATTGATATGTATTTTATACTGTAGTGCATCTCAGTTTGGACCAGCCACATTTCAAGTGCTCAATAGCTACACGTGGCCAGAGGCTACTAAACAAGTCAGTGAGCTAATGCACACAAGAAATCTACCAGGAAACGCACACATTAGACAAGGTGGGATGAAACAACTTGTAAGCTCCTGCGTCAACGCTGAAACTCTGTCATGCTCAGAATCTTGCTACTGGTGTCCTGTGACACTACCTAGTTACATGGGTCACATGCAGTTTCTGGGCTGATGCTGAAGACACTCTGGAGGGAGAAAGCTTATGGAGAATCCATCATGGTTCAAGTTGTTTTCGGCTACAGAAGGACTGTGCCCAGAACGGCAGGCCTACCTGGGTTTAAGAAGTTAATTTTGTATTTTTTCCTCAGCCCTTTTTCTTTTAGATAAGTTGCCGCAAGGCCAATTATAGTAGGATTTTGTGGTCTTTGTCTTTTGTAACTGAGTGAAAATAAATCAATCCCTATCCTGTTTTTTTCTCTATGTTATCATTAAGAAAAAAGAAAGAACGAAGCCTTATAAATCATTTTCAAGCATAAAATACAGAATCATTTCAGAAAAAAAAAGGTGAGAAAACAATGTTGCCTTTTTCTTTGGCAATTCCAGGATAAAGGAGATGACTTAGAGATTCTATAACATATGAGATTCTATCTCCTTCCTGGTTATTTCTTGGAAATCTAGAAACTCTGTTTTCATGGCTGAGACATGTTATTTTTTGAGAAGTAGTTGCTTTGTCAAGCCATTTTGAACATTTTATTGAGATACAAACAATAAACCGTTTACACTTCTTTCATTATTGTTATTATTTTAATTATTATTATGATTATCAGATAATATGCACAAAAGACTTTGTTATCCCACACTTAAGACTTAACCATCCTTAATCAATCCAATCATTCTGAGTATCAGGGAAACAGTATGGCTTAGGGAGAGGGTGGGATGGAGGATAGAGAGATGTGGAATGGGATAAGGCACAGAGATGGAGAAAGGCCAGGGACCCAGTAAAAGTGAAGGATGAAGTGGGGGTACAGAGGTGAGGAATGGGGTGGGGACCAAGTAAAATAGAGAATGTTCTGAGGCTCAGGGATTGGGGTTAAGAGTGTGAATGTGTTGAATACATCACTTGGGATTAAAAAAAAAAATGAAAGTTGATTCTTTTTTTTGGAGACACAAACTAGAGGTGAATATAAAATGTCACCTGTGTCAAAATGGTCACAACAAAATAGCTGCATTAAATGTCAAGTAAACTAATTTCAAGTTGCTCCTTGAGTTATATCGTGATGGATGGGAGGCAAATGAAAACCAGCCCCATCTCACTGAAGTTTCACAAACCAGCCCTGAAATTCTAAACCAGGAAGTGACAAATGATCCTGAGCTGGAAGTAAAGAAAGCAAAATTGCCTCTATCATTTCTTCCTGGTCTCTACCACAGACTTAGGCATTTCTCTATAACTGATATTGCAGATTCCATTTTCAGAATATAAGTTTTTATAGATCTACCACTGTCAAACTGCTTATTTTATCACGTAAGGAACTCATCTGAAGTCTTCCTCTCTCTCTCAAGGCTTCAAAAACACCCAAGAAGGGCACTTGTCTGGACTACATGTTGGCAAACTTTTTCTGTAAAGAGCCAAATAGTAAATGTTTTAGGCTTTGCGGGACATATAGTCTCTGTCACAAGCGCGCAATGCTGCTGTTCTGTAAATAAATGAATTTACATTATATAAGTAAATATACATGGGTGTGTTCCAATAAAATCATATTTACAAAAATAAGTGGTGGGCCGGTTTGACCTATGGGCTGTAACTCAGTAATGGTTAAGAGTCTATCTCTTATCCTTCTTCTTGGTAACTTAGTTGTCTTCTCCTTGCTGCCATCTATACTCTTAAATACCAGCCACACTTCTCATTCAATGATAACGATAATAGAAAATAGTAAATGTTGACATTTCTAAACATTTAATCTGTGCCTGAAACTGAGAAAAGCACATGGCAAGACTCCCATTTGTACCCCAACCCAATACTCTCTGTGACCTTCTTGGTTGACTTTGACCAAGGCCAGTCTCATGTATTACATAGTTAGATTATGGCAAATAAAGTGAATGTGTCCACAAAGAACTCTCCGTGTGGCCTTTACCTATGAGGGATGATATCTGTTTCCCTCATAGAAAAAGCATAACAAGACATCTTGTCCTTTCTCTGACACTATTGTGGCACACAGATTCCTTTTTCTTTCCAGCACTCAAATTGAAGTTCTGTCTAAATCATATGTGACCCTAAATTATTCTTCAAGCATGAAGAGAAAACAAAGAGTCAATGGAAGATCAGTCCCAGGAAAAAAATCAAATAAAATATTTGTCATCCTTGATGGAATTTTCATTTGACCATGGAGCTCCTTCTGGATTAGAGGGATGATGTGCTCTCTTCCTCCAGGCCACTCTATGCATTCCATTCTCATCTGTTACAGTACGTGTAAATATCTTTCAAGCCTATAGACATTGTGCATTTTACCTTATTTTTTTCTTTTGTGAATTTTAGACCCTCTTTTTCTCTTAAGTGGACTTTTTCAAGGACCTAACAGACTTTCTTTTCTCTATCCTTTACAGATCTTTTTTTTTTTAATCTCCAAATGACCTCTTCAAAACACAGATCTGTTTCATCCCCCAGTTTAAATTTTTTGAAAACTCCTATTAAGCAGCCACAATGCACTAGAATAAGAAAAATGAGACAAACCTGAAATCTAGGCCTTGTCTTCCTCCCTCTCTTTTGTCCTCCATAGAGTTAATAACCAAATCTGATAAACTCTTTGGTTCAAGTCATCATCTTCCTTTCATGATTGACTACGACAGCCTTATAAACAATCTCCCTGCTTCAGTCTTCTCTCTTCCATTGCATTCTCCACTGTAGGCAGAGTAAGGATCTGAAATCCAAATTCGATGGTATTATGCTCAAAATCTTTAAGTGGCTTCTCTAGCTCCCATGATGAACTCCAAACTCCTCCTGACACACAGGCCTCTGTTCACCTCTCCAGCTTCAACTCTTGCATTGCCCTCCCTCCCTTCTCCTCTTGAATAAATTTCTTAAACTTGTTCCTACATGTCCTCTCCTCCTAACATATCCTCTTTATGCACCCCTGGTCCTTCTCCCATTTTTTCCTTCCATCTCACAAGGTCCATCCCTCTAAACTCTGGACTAATTTGTTCTCACCTCATTAAAGGTGCAGCTTTTTTCTGGAAGTCTTCATGACCTCTTTCCCCTCAGAATGTGAATTAGTTATTCCTTTGTTATGCTCTCATAACATCCTGTGCTTACACCTGTATTATTGGCTGTCTCTGTTTTGTAGTTGCTTATGTATAAGTCCAGCCCTCTCACTAGACTGCAACTTCTTTACAAAAAGAGACAGCTTAATATTCTTGTTATATCCCTGGTGCCTAGGTCAATGCATAGCACGGAGCAGTTGTTCATTAAAAGTTGTTGAGTAGGGGGCCAGCCGGGTGGCAAGTGGTTAAGTGCGGCGCTCTGCTGTGGTGGCCCGGAGTTTGCCTGTTCGGATTCCGGGCGCGCACTGACGCACCGCTTGGCAAGCCATGCTGTGGCAGCATCCCATATAAAGTGGAGGAAGATGGGCACAGATGTTAGCCCAGGGCCAATCTTCCTCAGCCAAAAAAGAGGAGGATTGGCATGGATGCTAGCACAGGGCTGATCTTCCTCACAAACAAACAAAAAAAAAGTTGTTGAGTAAACCTAGACCTTTAAGATGAGCGTTTTAAAAGGGAATTTAGGACAGACACTCTCAGTTCTGATCAATGACATAGAGTCTACAGGGATAGGGAAGGATTATTATTTTTCAAAGAATTTAGAGATTCTGCACACTCTCTCTGGTACAAATTAAAAATTGCTGGTACTGCTGGTGGGAAACAAGCTAGTTACGTGAAAATATGAACTTATAAAATATATCTCCCCTCCCGCCCCCCAGGAAGGCTAGAGTCATGAGGTATTTCTCAGAAATATTAGCAAAAGTTGCGGCTAAAGAGGAATGCAAAGAGCAGCATGAGCCCAGAAAAAACAAGCTGTGAAGTGTATAGTTATAATTAACTTTGTACTGACTTTCAGCCAATTAAATGCTTTTTATCAGCTAAATATGTAATATGCAGTGATAAAGAAGATCTCAATCAGCGAAGGGTTAGTTTATCTCAGGTTGATAAAATCCTAGAATGACAGAGCCAGAAGAAAATTAGAGATGATTTAACCAGCATGTTTAATGTATGGGAATCCCAAAGCCAAGAAGGGGAAAGTAATTTTCCAGCTTACCGAAATAGGC